TTACGGAATAATTGTGTTTAAAAGGACAACAGTCTCAAAGTAGGTCTAAGTATGATTTAAGGGAACAGTTACATCTGGGCAGTAGTGGTGCATGCCTTTAATCCCAGCATTTGGGAGGCAGAAGTGGGCAGACCTCTGTGAGTTTGAGGCCATCCTGGTCTATAGGCTAAGTTCCAGGACAGCCAAGGCTACCCAGAGAAACCATGTTTTGAGAAACAAACAAACAAATAATAAAAATCAAACAAACAAACAGTTGCTTTGTTGTTTTTTCCTGAGACAGGGCCTCGCTAGGTAGTTCTGGCTGGCCTGGGTTAGATGGACCTGGCTGGCTAAAACTCACAGAGATCCAACTGCTTCTGTCTCTGGAGTGCTGGGGCTAAAGGCATGCACCATAATTCTCAGGAAGAATAGCTGTTTTATTAACTGCATTATCATTATTATAAACTTGGTGCTTTAGTCACTGTTTCATTGCTGTGAAGACATCACGACCACGGCAACTCTTATAATGGAAAACATTTAATTGGAGCTGACGTATAGTTTCAGAGATTTAGTCCATATTTGTCATGGTGGGAAGCACGGCAGCATGCAGACAGACGGGAGGCTGAAGAGGTTGCTGAGAGTTCACATCCAGATTGGCAGGTAGCAGGAAGAGACAGTGGGTTTTTTAGCTTGAGCATTTGAAACCCCAAAGCTCACCCCCAGAGATACAATTCCTCCAGCAAGGGCCACACCTACTTCAACCTGGGCACACCTCCTAATCACTGTCAAGTAGCACCACTCCCTAATAAACAAGTATTCAAATATATGAACCTATGGGGGGGTTCTAGCCAGACCACCACACCTGGGTTCTTATTTGTCTTGCTGCTGTAAAATCTCAATAGTCATTGGCACCGCTGAGTCTTGGTTTTCTTCCCCAATAAATGGGATAATAACAGCATTCACTTCAGAAGTTATCATGCGGATGAAAATGAGAAAGAACGTGTGTATGTATATGGGTATATATATACATGTGTGTATATATATATATATATATATGTACACACACATATATATAATTTATCAAATCAGCTCACACTGAAATAGTGAAAACAACTCTCTCACACCTGAAAGGCTGAGAACCCATAAGTCACTCTGTCCCAGAGGCTGAGTGACTCAGCAGTCCCAGTCTGACATCAACAATGGATGCCTGGAGGATCCTGGGAAACTGCTGGTGTCAACAATGGATGCCTGGAAATGCTGGTGCTGATATCAGTAAAGGACTCAGCAGCCGCTGACAAGTAATTCAGCTCAGTGTCAAGAGAGAAGGTAGAGGAAGCAAAAGACAGACTGTTTTTCTGCTGTAACCTATTTATCCAGGCTGCCACCTGAAGACACCACCCACAGCAGGGATGGATCATCCCACATCCTTTAAGGCAATCAGGACAATTTCTCAGACGTGCTCCCCGCCTCAGGTGATTCTAATTTGTGGCAGGCACTTTCACACCAACCACCATAGTAACTGAGATGATGATAATGCTAAACCTAGGAGCTAATGCTAGTTCTGTAATAACTGCCATTAAAATGAAGGATCTAGAGCCTGAGATGATGGCTCAGTGGTTAAGGGCACTGGCTGCTTATGCAGAAGACCTGGGTTTGATTCCTAACATTCACACAGCAGCTGACAATTGCTTATAACTCTAGTTCCAGGAGACTGGACACCTTCTTCTGACCTCCATGGAAACCAGGCTTGCATGTGGTACACATACATGCAGGCAAAACATCCATATATATGATATCTATATTTATATCTATCTATCTATCTATCTATCTATCTATCTATCTATCTATCTATCTATCTATCTATCTCATAAAAGAAAGGATCCAGTCTTTCTTTCTTTCTTCCTCTGTCACAGTCTTCCTTACTAAGGGCCCAGTGTCAACAGAGCTAGCATTGTCAACTGAAACCTTTGAAACACTTACGATTTCAGAAATAAGTCTTCCCTTGATTATGTTTGGCACAGATGAAAATATCAACAAAATTAGTACCATAGAAGTGGGGTCATTACTGTGACTAAATTTGAACATTATAGATGTAACTTGTGGGTGGAGCTTGGAAGAGTTTGGGAAGTGGCCTAAGGAAAGTCTAAAATTCTTAATCTCAGTGTGGTAGTTCAAATGAGAATAGCCCCCATAGGCTCATATATTTGAATGTTCAATTCCCATTTGATGGACTGTTTGGGAAGGATAAAGAGGTGTGGTCTTGTTCGAGGAGGTGTGTCACTGAAGGTGGGCTTTGAGATTTCAAAAGTTCAACTAGTCAATCTCTCTCTCTCTCTCTCTCTCTCTCTCTCTCTCTGCCTGCTGCTGCCTGCAGATCAGGATATAAGCATTCAGTTACTGCTCCAGCACAATGCCTACCTCCCTGTCACCATGATGATCATGGACTCCCCCTCTGAAACTGTAAACAAGCCCCCCAATTAAATGCTTCCTTTTACAACTTGCCTTGGTCATGGTGTCTCTTCCCAGCAGTAGAACAGTAACTATGATACTCAGCTTAACGAAGATTCTGATAGGATCTCTGCAAACTGGTAGCAATTTGGACAACAAAGCCTTGCTTATGGGGTTTCATGTAGAGATGAGGACTAGAGGCGATTAACAGTTGCATTCTAGAAAAGAACTTATTTGAGGGAGCCTAGATTAAAAAGACGATGGGCTAACTAACCTAGCAGAGAAAAGTACAAGGCAGCCCAGCATTTAGAAAGCAGCATTGTTATTGATGGTTTCTTTTTGATGATTTAGAGAATCAGAGCAGTGAACAGTATAGCAAGTTGGAGATGTGATTTAGTTGAGAAGCTGCTTGTGTAGCATGCATGAGGCTTGGGGTTCATTCCTCAGTATGTCATTAAAATAAACAGCATGGAAGTACTACAGCTACACAGCAGCTTCAAAGACAGAGGATTCATGTGATCATATTTGAAAAAAAAAAAAAGAAAGAAAAAACAGAAACTTAGAGTTTTGCCATAAAGCCTACATAAAGTTAAGGAATGCATGATTTCTGAAAAAAAAAAAAATGGTGCCATCAGAAGAAAAGCCATATCAAGAAAGATGCCATGAAGGCATCTCAGGAATTGGCCTGCCCATTTTATGTTGAAGGGCAGAAAAAAAAAGTCATTTAAAACACTTTCTTGGGATGATAGTGCCTCCAGAGCATTCAGCACCAACAGGCCCACCTGGTAAGCTGCTGCTTCAGTTCTTTTCACGATGCTCAGCTGGCCAGGCTCTCAAAGGCAAATGCAGCTATGAGATAAGGAGCCCAACTGCAGTTTGATTCAGCAACAGGCTGAGGCATCATCTACATGATGCTGGTTTTGCAGGCATGCAGAATGCAATTATAAGGTCAGGGAGGCTTCTGTGATCCTATAATGGCTTCCTTTCTTTTCAAAGGAAGGCTTGAGAGGCTGGCAATAGTGAAAAGGTCAGGATCCCTGCAGGCAGCCCAGAGTGAAGCCTAAGTTGCAAGGGAATTCTCCAACTGCCAGAAACATGGGGTGTTCACTATGAAGCTGGAGGCAGCAAGAGGAGCTGGCTGGAGAGGTAGCTCAGTTAGAAAAGTACCTGCCCTGCATGCATAAAGCCCTAAGTGAGACCTCTGAGAGTGTCAATCAAAATGAATCCTATCCTCCCTTTAAAAACTGGAGATTGCTTTAACAGTATTCAACCTTACTGGGTTATTGGGAGGCTGGAGTGAGTCATAATATATGACATTGTTTAAAAATAAAGATACTGTAAAATAATTAGAGGAAAACAATGGAATCAGAGACTGACTTGTCTCATCATCTTAAGTAAATCAGTTGGCTTCTCAGAGCTTTAGGTTTTATTGTTTAGAAGGACCAGTGATATAAAGGCAAAATTAAGCTTTCCCAGTGAGAAATCACTCCAAGAACTTCATAGATTAATAAGAAGAACTCTTTAATAAAAACACACATCCTGATTCTGGCTAATGCCTGTGGGATTCTGGTCATGAACAGAAATCTTCCACAGCTTCTATAAATTGAGCGTAACATTATGATCTTACACACGCTTTCATCTGTAGGCAGCCTTTTAGGTTTCTGTCCCAAGTTAGATTTTCTGAGTAGTTGGGTGGGTTTTGCAAAAACAGACATTGCAGTTTGGGTTATCTTTAGATTATCCTTGCTGGGCTGAGAAACACTGATATACTGATGCAACTTTCACTCTTTTTTTTTTGGGGGGGGGGCTGTTTTGAGGCAGGGTTTCACTGTACAGCCTTGGCTGCCCTAGACTTGCTTTGTAGACCAGGCTGGCCTTGAACTCACAGAGATCCACCTGTGTCTACCTCCGTAAGTGCTGGGATTACAGGCATGCACCACCACGCCGGCTATGATGAAGCTTTCTAAAGAAATCTATCCTCTATGTCCAAGTCCTAGGATTGAAGGTGAGGGCCACCACCACCAGCTAAAATGTGTAGCCCAAACTCGTGATCCTCCCAGTACTCTCAAGGCAGAGACAGGCAATTCTCTGTGAGTTCAAGGTCAGCCTGGTCTACAGAGCAAGTTCCAGGATAGCCAAGGCTACACAGAGAAACCCTGTCTCAAAAAAATCAAGAAAAGGAAGAGAAACATATCCTCATCGAATCTAAATTCTAATTATCTTAGAAGTCCAACTCTCCCTTTCCTTATCTCTTATCTAAGAAGTTCGGTTAGTATGCTGTATGTCACAGGCAATGCTTCTTAGGCAAATTCTGCTTCTGTGTGACTTAATATTTTCTAAGCAAATTTATTGGTAAATTCTCTAAGACACTTGTTTGTCATTTTAATTCTTTTCTGCAGTAGTACTTAAGCATTGTTAAGGTTAAATATCATAATGTGCAAAGCAGTTACCTCTTTCCTGTCATATGTCATGTAGCTCATCCAGGATTATATTTTTCCCAGAGGATAGTATTTCTAAGAATATTTTATTTTTGCTTATGAAATTGTCTACATGAATATTTATTAGCTTGAGGATTAAAGATCTATAAAATTGAACTGCTAGATGCATCCTACTTAATTATACATCAAATATCATCCCAATGCTGAATATTTCATCACTGGCTTCTCTGGCTGTGAGACTGCAGGGCCCAGGAAAGGGAAGCAATCAATTAAAGAGAATCTGGTACAGTCCCAAACAGAGGTCATTTTTATTTGACTGCCAAGTGGAAGAACAAGGTTTTCAAAAGTTTTTTTTTCTTTTGTTTTGGTTTGTTTAGAATAACTGACCCAAAATTGTTTAGAAGCCCTGAATGTAGCCTAGCTATGATTCCATCAGCAGCATCAGTAGACTAGCATTGGTTTTCCCAGTTCCACATGATTATATACTGGCCCTGAAGAGATGGCTCAAGTGGTTCCCAGAATCCATATTGCATGGCTCACAACTGCCTATAACTCCAAATCCAGGAGACCCATCGCCCTTCGGCCTCTGAAGGCATCTGCATATGACTGGCATATATAAACACATATAAATGCATGTACATTTACATAAATTTTAATAAATAAACATAAATGGTTTTATCCTTTCTTTACAATGTTACCTAACAGTTCAGTAGAATCCAACAGTGTTTGTTTGAATGAGGAATGTCTCCAATAGGCTTTGTGCTTTTGAACACTTGACTCACAGTTGGTAGTGCTGTCAGGGGATGTTATGGAGTCTTCAGGAGAAGAGTTTTGCTGGAAGAATCACATCGTGGAGGCAGGATTTGAAGGTCTACAGCACTCATGTCCTGCTTGATCCCTCTCTGCTTCTCACGTGTACATGAAGATATGATCCACTCTTTCTGCCTGTTGCTATGCCTTTCCACCAAAATGGGCTCTATCCCTCTGGAACCACAAGCTAAAATAAACTATTTCTTCTTAGAGTTGCTTTTGATTGTGGTATTTTATCACAGCAACAAAAAAGTAGCCAATACACTGTCTTTATATTATTTCTCTACCTACGTAGAATCACTTACAATAGGTCATATACTCTCTAGGTCACTCCTGTATTGAGAAAGATGGATAAATGAAAACCCAAAAATACCCCTTCCTTCTTGCTAGAATTCTTTTTTTTTTTTTTTTTTTTTAAATAGAGCCTTACTGTATTGCCTAAGCTGGCCTCAAATTCACATTTCTTCTGCCTCAGCTTCCTTGAATGTGTGCATTACTGTGCCAGATTTAGTGGCATTCTGTTCAAAGTCAATATTATCATGATGGTTTTCTAGAAGGTCCTGAAGCCTGATTCTCAAAGCCTGACTTTCAACTAGCTATCTAACCAATCTATACTTGGGAAACACATTGCTTGACACAAACAACACAGTCAATATGAATTGATTCAATGTTTTGTTTCATCTCTCTGCCTGCCCCCATTTCTCATAACCTTAGTCCTATGAGGAGATGTTTTGATGGAAAAGAGAGTTTGGGTTCTGAAACAAAGAGAGATGAGAAGCATGTGAGGACATTCTCAACCCTAAACCTCAAAGTGACAATCTTCACTAAAGCCTGAACATGTCACTTAAATCCATGCTCACCTACACCTATCTCGGGGTCATATCAGCCTCCCACAGCATTGATCTAGCACAGTCTTAGAACGGGGCTTGTGATCCCCACAGGTAAGTTCTACATCTTATGAGCACACTTTTAAACAAGCTGTGTCAAGATGCCTAAGGATAAGGGAATAAAGGAGGGAAATAGAATCACATTTAAGACAATAGAGAAAAAACACTGCAAGTAAGTTTTCAACAGTCCCATATTTGAACATAAACCATGACTATTTCTTAGTACTCCCTATTGTTATCCACGGTTTACCCAAATCTTATCCATGTGGTTGATGTCATTAATTCTTACAATGATCCTGGATAGTTTTAGTCCTATTTGAGAAAATTAAGATTTATGTTAAATGATTGGTATAAACACACATAGCTAATAATAATGTTTGTCTGGTTCTCTAAACACACATAGCTAATAATAATGTTTGTCTGGTTCCAAAACCATTCTACCTGCTCAACACAATGTTTTATTTTAATGCTGTCACTCTATATTACTTAAAAGTTGCTCTGTAATTTTAATTTTATCTATTTTTATGCCTGCCTTTTTGTTTGTTTGTTTCAGTGTTTGTTTGTTTGTTGTTTTGTTTTAGAGACAGGATCTCACTATGTAGCTCTGGCTGTCCCAGAACTCACTATATAGACCAGGCTGGCTTCAAACTCACAGAGACCTGCCTGCCTCTGCCTCCCGAGTGCTGGTGTTAAAAGTGTGTGTCACTATGCCCACCATATGCCTGCCTATTTGTATGGGCACCATGTGTGTCCCTGAGGCTCATGGAGGCCAGAAGAGGTTGGATCTCCTTGGACTGAAGTTACAGGTGACTATGAGCTGTGGTGTGGATGCTGAAACCTGAACTTGGATCCTCTGCAAGAGGAGCATGCACTGGACCATTTGCCAGCCCGTAAAGATAGCACTCCTTCCTGCCTGCATGCAGTTTTCTCTTTTAACAGCAGGAAACCATACTGTCACACCATTGCCATTGCTACTTATCTCTCTGTTCCTGAACATTTAGGTTGTTTCAGGTTTTTTTATTACAGTAAATAATGCTACTATGAATAGTTCTGTTGTTGTTCCCATAGCTTATTTTATTCTTTTGCATTATTTCCTGGAGATAAATTCTTTGAAGGTATCATTAGATGAAGGGTTGCAAGGATCACCATGGCTCTAGCTATAATTATCAACCCATTCTCCGCACAGGCCATACTGTGTCATTGCATCTTGAAAGAGAGTACTATCTTCCCTTACCAGCCCCTCTTGAGAGATGTAAGGCAAGCTAGGGTGGAGTCTCTCTGCTGCCTGGGTATGCCCTGGGGCTTTATAAAGCTCTCTGAAGATGATTTGTGACACAAGCATGAATACTTCAGAATAAGCTCTCACATGGGATGAATCCCAAGAGATTCTGTGATTGTCTTTTAGAAGTCATAAGATCAACAGAAGTTATTCAGTGTTCCCCTTCCAAGAAACTGGCATTTTCTTCTTGCATCAGATAGCATTTCTCCACTTGCATGTCAGAAAAGAGTGTGGTGCCTCTTAGAAATAAAAGTTAGACTTTCGTGCATGCTTTGCCATTCCAAACTGGGTGCCAAGGGGTTGGGATAAACTATACCAAAGCAAAGGAAGTCCTGGCAAAGATAGAAATGGCTTCAGGATCTGTAGGGAGATATAAAAATGGCAGAAGGTACTTTTAAAATGGGTGGAGAATGCATATTAGTATCAAATATGACAAGGGTCCCATTTGAAATTATGGAAAGATTTAGACCTGAATCACACAGCACATAGCAGTCTTATGGCAGACATTACATGCCACACATGGCAACCATCCTACAGTCTAGGTGACAGTGCAGTTGGCATTGTGGGAAATTCTGAACACTGAAAGTAAGTAGGACTGGTTTGGCCTTGGACAGCATTTGGTCCTCCTTAGGCTTCAGCTTCTGTGAAATGAAAGCTACACTACTTCCCTACAACTGTTGCTTTACAGACGAAACGACAGCGTGTGCCAGGCATCCTGGCACATAAATTAAGTGGTGGCTTAATTCACAAATGAGTCACTGAATGACCAGCCAGTCTTACCCTAGCCCAGTGCTTCTTAAACTTCAGTGTGAATATCACTTGGGTTACTTCTCAAAAAAGCAGATTTTCAGATTCTATCTCCAGAAATTCCAGCTCTGTGGAATAAAAGGATGAAGTCTCAGAATCTACATTAGTAACTAAATTCCAACCATGTTTATGCTACTAGTTCATAGACGATAGTTTGAGCAGCATTGTCTTATTAAAACAAAGAAAAAAGTTTTCTATCACAAATAGGCTACAAAAACTTGATGGTATCCAAGAGATCTAAATAGTGAGTGGTTTTATTTTCAAGATACAGCAGGTATTTCTTACCTAATAGAATTAGGAGTGTCCTCCAAGACATCTTATCTTTTAGCCCTTGTGATGGGTGAACGTGTCCTTGATCTGTCACAGCAATCAGTCTCTCTTCTAGACTGTGGTACTCCTATTCAGCACGCTGACAGACATTGTATCAATAATCTTATGTTATTGCAATTTGATTTGTGCCCCATTTCCCACAACTGGACTTTATCTTTTATTGTTTTATCCTCTACAAGCATCATGGAAATCCTTTGTAGTGATATGCACTTCAAATACTTATTTTAATGATTATAGCTATACACATTGAGCTGTTGACCAACACTCATTGGCAAATCCTTTGCTGTGAAAATGGCTCAGACATAGTCATGCTGGGTTGAGGCCTAGGCTTTGGAAAAGGTGAGTACGGGTTGTAACCTCACAGGCTGCTTCATCCGGTAGAGCAGAAAGGTTTTCTTACCTCACAGGGCTGCCAGGAGGATTAAATCAGAAAATTTTTATGGGGTTTCTAGCAAAACACCTAACACTGTACTTACACTTAAGTGGCAGATACTGGCTCTTGCTAGAACTCCTAAAAGGACCAACAAGTATGCAGAGCTGTTTTCAACATTCTGTATTCAAGCACACAGGTGTGGAACATGCGTGGTCAGAGCACAACTTGCAGGAGTTTGTTCTTTCCTTCTACTATGTGAGTGACGAGAATTGAACTCAGGTCATCAAGCTTGGCAACAACTGTCCTTACCCACTGAGCCCTCTTGCTCATTCAGCTTGCTTCATTCAGGTTTACTGACAAAAGCCATGTGACCAGCACAGGCATTTCACAGGCACTGTTCATTTGACTCTACCTTGTTTTTGGAAACAGGATCTCTCACTGAACCTGGAGCTCACTGACTTGGCTAGGCCTGCTGACTAGCAAGCTGCAGGGCTCCTCCTGTCTCTGCCTCCTCCGCATGTGCTATCATATCTGGCTTTTTATGTGGTTGCCCTCAGGCTTGTGTGGCAAGCACATGAACTGTCTCCTCAGCCCCTTTTTCTTTTGTTATGAGGTCTAGAATTTTAAGCTTTAGGAAGGTGGTTGTCCAGAAATGTGTGTGGATTTTCTTTTGAGATGAGAAAACCATTTTACCATTCCAGCTTCCACAGAGCACTACAACCAAGATTTATGCTTCACAGGCCTTCTCTGGTCATATGATTATCAGGACTTTTCTATCATTCTTGATGAGCATCCAGCTTCCAAAATAAAGAATATGAATCCCACCCGAATGAGACACATAAACTTTCAGCTTTGTGCTGTAGATAGGAAATCCTCCAGCTGTAGGAGTGAGGCAGACACTGGGATCTCAAGGCCACTGTGGGAGTAATGGATGCCTAGTCCTTTGGAATATAGTCAGTTTACTATAAGAGGGTCTGTGCCACGGAAGAAAATATACATTATGTATAAACTATATATGTAGTTTCTGTAGGAATTTCAGCTAAAAGCAAGAAAACAGAGACAGTTCTTGGTGTCTAAGAATAAAGTGGCTTGTGATTAAAACATGAGAGGTTTGATAGATTGTAGAGAAATTGTTGTAAATGTTACACAGACGTAGAGAATATGACTAAGTGAATAATGTGAGAAATGCAGTAACATATAAAAGGCTATGGGTAAATTTTAAGGAACCCAGAAAAAAAAATGTAAAATTCAATTTAAGCTCAGCGCTTTCTGCAATTGTGGAGTGATAGAACCTTCCCAGCACACCCTGACTCTCACAAAAGCCAATGAGAACCTTAGGCTTAGGTGGTGGGATTGTGACATCATCAACACTCCAGCCAATCTCTTTGATGATTATTTGCATAGTTTACCTCTCCTAATCCAAAAGAACTTGATTTCTTTTTCATGATAGCACTGAGTGGAAGTGTTAATCTCCAACAGAAAAGGAAGAAGAAAGCTGCACTAACAAAGAAATATTTGTAATGCCACTGGCATCAAAATACAGTGAGTAAAATTATAAATAGTCCTGATTGTCCTTGTCCCTTCTAAGTTTTCTACTCTACTTGATATGCTAAATCTTAAAATAGCTCTCAACAACTTGACAACTCCTTATCCATGTTTATATGTTGTTTTAAAATGTATTCCTAGGGAGGAGGAGTTCTAGGTATCCTTGGTTACAATAGTGAGTTTGGAGGCCAGTCAACTACATGAGACTCAGTCTAAAAAAAAGAAAGAAAGAAAGAGGTTTAGAAAATATTTCTTCTAACTCCTAACAGAGTAAAAGATAAAGATAATACCTAACAATGTTCTGAGATTATCTACAAATCTCTCATTGTTAAAAGAGAAATCTTTTATTTCTCAGATGTAATTGCTTTAATAGAAAAAAGAAAAGCTCATCCACTCTAGACCTATCTGTCCATCTTGACACTTTAGCCCCTATAGAGGAAGTTTCACCAAATTGACCTGGGTATTGACAAGGGTATAGAATTGTGTAACACTCCTCTTTGTCTTTATTTTATATATATTTACTGGGCTAGCAAATTTAATACTAGCGAGGACTGACTGTTCTTTATTCTAATTGAGATTTCTATTCAAAGAGCATGTTTAGTAGGTCAGCTCTGCCTTTCTCCTACAACATAAGAGCAGTTAGGTTCAGTTCGGTTTACTGACATCGGCCATGTGTTCATAGACTCTGTTCACATGACTCTTCACAATAGCAATGTGCACAGTCACACAATCACAGCCATTACTTACAGATGAGAACATGGGTTAAAGAGGTTCATTGATTTGGTTGCCCAAAATAGAATCAGAATTCTCGCATAAAATTTTTGACACAAAACTAGCATTCTTCCCACTACACCATATTTACTTATCATAACTAGATGTGTCAAAACAGAATGGAAAATCCGATTCCCATATGCCAAATATAGCCTCTTGCTTTATTTGCCATATCTTAAATATAAATATATAGTTTGTGCTTGTATTTTCTCAAAAAATATCATCCTATGATGCTCTTTCCAATACTTTTAGCAGAATTTCAATCAGCCAAAGTACTTTCAAGTTGTATGTATCTCAAGTACTTACTTGTTTACTATGGCCAATGAAAATCTGCTGCTGGCTTCAAACCAGCAGTTGCAGGTCATTCAAATTACTCCCAAACTTCCTTAGATGTGGCATATTTGTTCTGTAGTATGTCCCTTTGTAAAATTCAGAAATGGCTGGGATCTATCTGAATTCTATGGATGACATTTGTGATGAAAGTCATAGCCTTTAACCCTGTGCCAAGCAGTGTTTAAATATCACACATACATACACATATACATACATATATATAAACTCCAAAAGGTAGATAGCCATTATCCCAGTTTCCAAATAACTAAGAAACTCAGACATGGTTTAGGGATGGAGGTGCAGTTTAGTTGTAGAGCATACACTTAGTATGTGCCAGTCTCTGAGTTCAGTCCCCAAGAGCAAACTTTGAAAAGAAGGAAAACAAAGAGGATTTTATGAAACACACGAAGACTTCCTATTGATGTGTTTCACACCGTGGACATCATGTTCATGTATATGATACTATAAATCCAATTTAAGACGGATGCTTATAATCTTGAACCTTGGGAAGCTTAGCCAGGGGGATTACAGGATACTAGCCTGAGCTGTATACAGTGAAGCGCTCCCTCAAACAAACAAATAAAATGAAACTTGGGTGAACATGGATGTGGTAGCAAAATGAGGCATAAATCAAAATCATGATGTTCAATTCCTGGAGGGTCTCTACATTTTTGTTGTGTATTTATGTACTTTAGTTTTACATATACGAGTACTTGGCCTGCATGTACGGCTGTGCACCATGTGTGCCTGGAGAAAGTGTTGGGTCTCCTGGGATAGAAGTTGCAGATAGTTGTTAGCAGCTGTTTGGGTACAGAGAATCAAACCCAGGGTCTCTGGAAGAGTGCCCAGTATTCTTAACTGCTGGGCTGTATCTCCAGCTGATTCTTGAAGGAGTCTTGAAGAAACCCTCTGCTTTTCTTCAGCCTGGAGCCAGAGTGGGCCCACTGGGTGCTCCATGTTCCTTGCCACCAAGACTTGCCCAGGGCTTAGGAGACTCTGCATTTCTCCCAGCTCAGGCAGAGAGCAGCATGTTTTTCTCCTTTACACCTTGGGAGTCTGCCCCCAGCGGCTGTCTAGTCCTACCCACGATCTGCTCTGGCATTCTGCCATTCCTCACCATTGAAAAGAGGCTTATAGCTTTGCATTCCCAAATTGTGCCTGATACTGTGTAGTGGGGGGTGGGGGGGTGTTCTTGCATTCCCAGCCCATTTTAAATTCCTACCTTCTAAAAATGGAGCAGCTTAGTTTAGAAAGTGGTTCCCTGACTGTAGTAAATTCTTAACAACTTTGTCTCTTTTAGGATACACATCAAAATAAGGGATTGGAACGGAAAAAAAGGCTTAACAGAGTTAGGAAATTCACAGACTAGTGGGACTGAAGTGAGGCTAGAATGGCCTGGTGAGTGTGAAAGAGATTTTGGTAAACTGTAAAATCCTTCAGAGAAAGCTCCGTGGTGACTCACAAAAAGAGAATCAGCCTCTTACAGGAGCCCAGGCCAACCTTTCTCATATTTCACCACACATCAGCGTTAACGGGCTTGTGAAACAGATCTCTGGGTCCACAACTTTTGATTTAACAGTATCCAGGAATTTGTATTTCTGTCTGGTTCCCGGATGGTGCTGGTCCTGCAGGTATCAGTCTATGCCTTGAGAACTACTGACTGCTGAAGAAGGGACTCCATCAATGCCACGGGGGCAATCGGAATTGACACTGCAGTAGAATACTACTACCCTCCATTTCTTGGTAACCCCAACATCTGCTTTCATCTTGCAAATTGTTCAGCTCCAGTACTGGGCAAAAATAGCACTCCTCTTGTGTTCTGCAGTATGTATCATTAAGAGCTACCATCAATACCCATTCCTGTGTAAAAGCTGCTTTTGTAGAGCAGGAGACTCTGAAAGGAAAACCTATGTTCTTATGAGATGTGTATTTAAAACAGAGAAAGGGGCGATGTGGTAGAACTCTACCTCTCCTTTGCTTTTAAAAGTAGCTATGAAGGTAGGCATAGGTTTGTGACTCGGACCACGCATTCTAGAAGCGACCAGCCTGTCCCTAACTGAAGGAATGAATGCACGTAACATAAGGTGCAAAGTTAGAGTGATGATAAACACCTTACTGTTTACTTACCGCCCAAACATTGCGAGTGGGAAGGGTGATCGTGAAGGCTTAGCTGGGAGAGGTCGCCCCGCAGCCCGCCCTCAGAGCTCCAACATAGCCCGAGGTCGCCCTCCGGACCCTCCCGGGGGACGCGCGGTGCAACCAAGCCTACAGCGGTAGCCGCGCGCCGCCGCGCAGCCCTCCGGCCTTCCTATTGGCGGGCGGCGCCATCTGCGCTCGCCTCGCCCTGGCGCCGGCGGGCGGAGGCCCGGGCGGGGTAGGCCGCGCTCGCGGCGGGCTGTGGCTGCAGCCTTGCGCTGCTGCCGGCGAAAAGCGGGGCGCAGGGCGGGAGGAGGCAGACCCATGCCGGGCGGCGGCGGGCAGCGGGGCCCGGTGCCCAGGGCGGCCCTACGGGACCTGCCCGGCCGGCTCCCGCGCGCCCTGCCTGGCCCAGCAGTCCGGCCTGCGAGCGGGGATGCGCGGTGTGGTCCAGCTCCCCGCCGTCCTTCGGGGCCCTGAGGCAGAAAGTTTGGGGGTCGGGAGCTGCCCACCTCCCGCGCCAGTGACTGCCCAAGGTACGCTGCAGCCCGGCTTCGCCCGCGACCTGTCTCCGCTCCCCAGGTCGGAATGAACTATCCCAAGGCTCCCCCTCTTCGCCCCTCCCTCATCGTCCTCTAAAAAGCTATTTTCTTAAATTCAAGAAAAAAAACTCGTGATCTGCCTACTCCCCTCGTCCATAATTTAAACCCCAGGTCTTTTGAGTGCAAGAGGGGGTGCGGTCTTCCCTCCCCTCCCCAACACAGCACGTAGAAGGACAGATTCCCCTTGCCGACCCACTTACACCATGAAGAGGTGCAAATCGGACGAGCTGCAGCAACAGCAGGGCGAGGAGGATGGGGCTGGGATGGAAGACGCGGCTTGCCTTCTGCCGGGCGCGGACCTCCGGCCTGGGGAGGCCTCGGGTGCTAACTCCGCTGGCGGGCCAACTTCAGATGCTGGCGCTGCGGTGGCACCCAACCCGGGTCTCCGAAGCAAGCCTCCTGATTTAAAGGTGAGCACAGACCAGCCCCAGGCAAGCACAGCCTGCCGCGTTGCTTCTCCCACCCTCGCAGAAGTGTCTTAACAGAATAAAAGTGATGGGGAAGCTCGCATAGGTCAGTGAGGATGAACGATGTTCGGCTAGGACCAGAGAGGGGAAGTTAGGTACCATTTATTCCTGTCTATCAGCTTCACTTCAGGCCTCTGTGTTCCTCATTATTCAGCAAACGTTCTAATGACTCACTCATCCGAGATTGTTTAAAGAATGTGTGTGAAATGCTGTTTGCAGACAAAGGGCTGGAGAGATCTAAGATGCTAACTTAAAAAGTTCACAGTACTCTGGCTTCTGTAGGAGGATGGGGAAGAAGATTGCAGCATGGGAAGCCATGCCAATTAGCCTCCGCCAGGTGGGATTTTTTTAATCACCTTCCTGAACGAATCTCAGTTTGTCCATCTATGAAAGGGGGGTGTAGCTGTCTTGCCGTTAGGTGGAGCCAGAGGTTAAGCTAGTGCTTAGAGATCCCTGCCTGCTTCCTGAACCAACCCCCAGGGTGGAGAACTGACAGGTGGTAGGGCAGAGCATAGGCTGGTTGGGGCCTCCGTTCAAGTTGCACACACGCTGAACCAGCAGCTAGAACCAGAATTGGAAAGGGCGGTTCACACGGAGCTGTTTATTTTCTAGCCCGAGGTCTTCCAGACAATTGGCGATCTGTATTGAAATATCTCTGTGTCATTTACAGCAGCCAGCAGAGATAAATAATGCGTCTTTGCTGGAGTTACCACCGGGACTGCCAGCTTGGGCTCCTTAGGCCAGCTCACAACTGGGCTGAGAGAGATGTCAGCCCCAGGAAGGAACTTGGATGCCTTGGGGATTGATGCCTTGGAAATTTTCTCCGGAGAGGGTGCAGGGTCTGGGATAGGGGAGGAGAAAGGACTTCCGTTAGGTTAAAGCCTGTGTACATATGGCTGTGGGCACCGACAAGCTCACTAGAGTAAGCCAATGACATTTCTCCTTTGGCCTGAGCAGCTCAGAGTCAGGAAGCCAGGTGAGTGCATGTGCTCCTTTATGTGTTTGTGTGTGTCCCTTGGGGAAGAGAGAGCCCCCTTACTCCTTGTGTGGACTTTTAAATTTTGTGGAAGTTTTGAAAATAGGACCTCTTTTCACCTTCTGTCTAATGATGGCTCTGTTGGACACCTAGGCTCTCTCCACAAAGCTAATGATTTCATCAGGCCCCAAGAAGTGTCACTCCCTCCCCCCAAGTGACATGTTTTCTGTTTTAAGTGAGATGGCAAGTACAAAGAAGTCCCTTTAGTGCTTCCGAGAGGAACAGGGGGTGATCCTTTGGCCTCTCTCCGCTGGTGGAAGTATGGGGCTACAGTTTCTCTGTGAATATAAAGCTTCCCAAAGCTCCTTGTTTGTACCCTCCTATGTCATCTTTTTTTTCTTTTTCTTTTTTTTTTTGTTTTTTTCTATGTCATCTTTTTTGATGACACTTATTTTGATCAGGGGAAGGTAGAGCAGCAGCTCTGCACTTGACTACGGTATGTTAACAGCTGAACTGCCCAGAAGAAGAATTGAGGACCTTTATCTACACACACACACACACACACACACACACACACACACACACCTCCATAGCCCAGCAGTGTGAACCCAAACAAGAACACAGCTACTGCAGCTCATGAAAGCACAGGAAGGCACACAAGGCACTTGCCTGTTTATCTTTGTCTGTTTATCACAACATGTTTACTACAGGACAGAGACTTGCCTAACAGATATGACTTGGGGGCCACCAATGGCATGTCACTTAAGTTTTCTGAGGAAAGGGACAAGGAATATTGGAGTGTGGCCAAACTTGTTTTCCAGTGCTGGACAAATTTTCCACAGCTGACAGTTTAATTGAAAAATTTCATCATTGTCTCTGGAACTGGGTGGGAGCCGACTTGTTCTAAATTTGATAGTGGTACCAAAAGGGATATGTTTATTTTTTCATTTGTAATACCCTTTTTCCCATACCTGTGTTTAGTTGATGCAGTTCAGCAGTCCTGGCTTGCTTGTGCTTTCATTTTGAACTTGGAGATAGTCCCTTAGTCCCACTTCTATTTTCTTGTGACAGCTCCAGGCATTGTGACTGACTAAGTGTCATGGAGGAAATCATCTTGATTCTTGAGCAACGAGCAAAAGCATGTAAAGCTCTGTCTAAAATGCCTCTATGGTAGAAGAGAAAGAGAAATATTCAATCTTGGCCGAATTATCTGAATGATGCTTCCTTAGCAATGGCCAGCAGTGTCTCTGTCTTCTATGTCTCTGGTCCTTCCAGGAGCATCATATTGTGTGCTGTACATTTCTCAGTTTATTTTGTGTGGAGGGGGAGGTCCTGAGATCCTACCTAGATAGAGTCTTGAGCATGCTAGACAAGCCCTCTATCAATGTAAATTGCTTCTATGGTAGCTTGGAATCTATGATTATGGAGTGGGTAGGGCTAGGGGTGGGGGGCAGAGAAATAGTTACATGGTAGCAATTTTTAAACCAGAAACTATAACAGAAAAGCAACCTGCAAATGGTCCTGGCCCCACAGGAGGCTTGTGTAAACATTTCTGGGGCTTTGCTAGAACTTCACATAAGTGTGTACCCTCTAGGGGAGACCTCAGCAGACAGTATGTAGAGAGGAATCCATGCTAAACTATCAGCATGGATTCCTCTTTAGCCACCCAAGCTCATGTCTCCATTCATTTGTTCTTATGATTCCATCCTTTGCTGTTATCTGAGTTCCTGCTTGTTGAGAAGACATGCTGGGGCGGCTTGTCACAGAAACTGCTGGCTTTCCAAAAGTATAACAGAATTAATTCTCCAGCAAGGAGACTGGCTGCAGTGAGAAGCGGTGTGGGGAGGAGCTTAGAACTCTGGGGACAGGTCCTCCTTAGAATACAGCATGTAGCTGATTCCTGGGTGAATGGCTGAGCTCAGTGTGCAGCCCTATCCCAAACACTGGAGAAGCCTGAGGTTGGGGGTGGGAAGGGGGAGGAGGTGGGGAGAGGCATTGCTCACCTCCCACCATTCCAATCCCACTACTCAATACAGGGATGGACCAGTTCCTGAGAGGAAAATCCTAGGGATGCTGTCCAGGGAAAGTTCCCAGAAGTGCTCTATCCCCTGAATAAAGCTGGATTTCCCCGTGGAGTTTCCTATCAGTATCGCCACTATTCCCTGAAGGAAAGGGGGGAGTTCCACTGTTCCCATCTGGTTGTAAGCGCTTTTCACTCAGGGCTGCTTTTGGGTTGTTTCAGATCATGTTCCTGTCTACATACCATACTGTCTTCTCCCTTCCTACTGAGTGAGGGGCAGGGAAGACAACAGAGAGCCAAGGTAAAATCCCAGCTGAACCGTAGGTGGCTGGTTCTCCTGTACAGGTGCGCAATGCACTTGGATGCTGTGAATGGCTCATACTCCTTCCCCACCCTTCAGTGCACTGATGAGAGGGCGGGTCTGTGCGGTCAACAGATAACGGGACATTTCAGAAGGAAAGATGTTCTTATAAACACTGAAATAGGACATGCGTATAAAAGCGTCCACAGAGAGACGTGTTTATAGTTTAATAAGAGCGAAAGTAGCCAGGTCATCTGTTCGTTACCCAAGTCAAGAACATAACATTGGTATTCCCAATCCTCTCTGTTTCCGTTCTGTTATTTTATTTTTTAAGGACCAGGAGTTGGTTAAAATTTGTGTTATGCATTTTAAATAAAGGAGAAGTCTAGCCACTTTTGGGAGTTGGTATGAAAGCATGTGTGTGTCCTGGGACCTTGGATGATTCAGTAATTGTGGAGTATGGCTATCTGGGATCTTGCTGCATCCTGGAGTACTACTGTCCTCTAGAAATGCTTGGGCTTAAAGATCCCTACAATCTGTGGGACATGGGCCCCTGAGGTAGATTTCATCAGGGGAGGTAGGATTGAGGGAGACCTAACCCAGGAAATGGAAACTTAGTTCTTCAACAAGGCAATGCCTTCATTTTCAGGTGAGCCTCCAGTCCCTGAGGGATGAGATGCTTTCAGGAAAACCCCTAGGACACCCAGGCTTCAGTGTGCTTGGAG